GCTCAATTTCTTAAACCAATGATTTCTTAAACAGTGCTGTCGCTGAAGTAGTAATGGAAAGGACAATCGAACTAATAGAACGTACTGAATATGATATTACTTTCGCATATATACTGGGGCTGTCTAGGGCTTCGGGACATGACGTGTCTACCCCTGCAGGAGATTCATGCCTAGTTCGGTATTTCCGGGACCCAGAAGAGCACCCTTGAAATGGACCAGAGTAGATCTGCATGTTGTTGGACCCCACTATAGACCCCAAAATATTCTAACCCTTATTAAAATAATGGGTACCCCTAATTTAGGGAAACCCTAACCCTTTATAATCCCTTTAGAGCCCCTATAAGCCTCTTAAAGGTACCCCTATATCTCAACTAGGTTTCAAGCTTCAGCCATCTCTCAGGAAATGGTGGCTACCTCGGACGTGGAGCTTCGGGCAGGCATTCCGCTGATTGTCGGGGCCTGTGTTTCCAGCAACCAGGGAGCCCTCTATAGCTTAATTACGGAATATACCATAGACCATATTACGACCCATGATATTATGATTTAAGGTAGATTCCTTAATTGAGCTATATTGGGCTCCCTGGGCAGGCTTTCTTGTTTTGGGTTTGAAGGAGTAGCTTGTGTTGTACCTGGAGCCTGGAAACCCCAACTACCTACAGCTTAAGGTTTATATGCATTAATGAAGGGTAATTTGCTGAGGTTACAAATAACTCCTGAAGAGGCTAGGGGTTGCTTGCGCCATCTATGTAGGGGTTATATAGGGGTTATAGGGGTTATATAGGGTTTATGTAGAGGTTATATAGGGTCATCTTAACCACCCAACCATAGAGGTGAAACGATTTGAATGCAGAAGCTGAGGTCTTGGCATGTCTGTGGGCAGTGCTCGTCATGGCCGCTTGCTCTTTATGTACACGTAGGTGTCCCGTATAATAAAATTTCTACGTATCATCTGTATATCATATCTTAGCTTCTCCGTTTGATGTTCCATTCGACTCTCCGTTACTCTAAAAGAATGGTACTGCAACATCCACACATATTTTTCAGGTTATGCCGACTGAGTGTGATTCTTGTGGACTTTGTAGATGCTTGTACTGTTGAGCGCATCCGACATGTTGTTGGGGAGCCATGAGTGCTCTTCAATTGTGCTGGTGCTGCTCTGCCCCGCGCAGTCTTAAGAGGCCTGCATGTGAAAGGGTATGCTGATGAGTTCGGTTCTATTTTCTTTTCCATTATCCCTATACAACCCTAATATACTATAGTTAGAATAGCCCTAAAGCCTAGCCCTAAACCCTATACCCTTTCCAGAGCATCTGGCGAACTGCAGACTTCAGCGGAGGCCTTCTACCATGCCATTCCCCACGAGCTGGGTACAGCGCACATGGTATCCGGCAAGGAGGACATTCAGGACAAGATGCTGTCACCGCATGGTAATTCTCAACCTCATGTACCACGCACTGGTTAATGATCATCTAAATACACCGCTACAACTGGCGCAAATTCGTCAGTGAGGCCTGATTTGTGAAACTGGCTGTGTCACACTTTCTGAATGTTTCGGCTCTTCTCGTCAGCTTAGCTCCCAATACCTGTCGCAATGGCATTCCTGCGGCGACCCGTTGCCGGCGCCGCCCGAATCTTTGGAGGCACATGCTGGGCTTAGAAGGACGTACTTGGATCCTAACCCTAAGCCTTAAACGCCAAAGCCATTACATCATCCAACAGGTCCAAGCCTACCGCTATGCGTACCTCGCACCCCCCCCTACTGTAGGCCCCGACTTCTAATTCGTCTAAAGCTTTCAGGGCAGCTGCCTTTGTTTTCTTCAGGCGCTATGCGACACGCGGCTTCAGGGCCGGACGCTCCTCAGCGCGTGACTGCAGGACTGTCTGGCCGCCCAGTCGTCACCATTGGCCAAGAACAGCTTGCTCCATGCGGCTTATTCAGCAAAGCCAATAACTTTCTCCTACCAAAAGTGGCTTCACGCACGTTCCGTAGAGGAGCAGGTCTTCCTCGCTGGCGTGGAGGCACATGGCCGCGCAAAGACTTCATTTTGAGCTTGGTCAGTTGCAAGCTGGTCGAAAACTCGCAATCTTGCACGAGCGCCATCGTGTTCTCCAACAAGACCTGGTGTGCAGGTTGGCACGACATGCTCCAGTACCACTTCTTTTTTGAAGACATGTTTGTGCAGGCTGTTTTTTGCATGTGCCACACCACATGCAGCGCTTGTTCTTGACATCTTGCATGCCTCGCCATCATTTGTAGCAGTGTATGTCAAGACTGGGTGCATGCGCTTGACCCAGAACCCATCCTCATGCTCCACTGTCATCGCCTTGCCCATACCTCGTTTTCATGGGGACAGGCCCGGGTGTTCCTCACGCCTAGTCTTGAAGAGCATTCTCTTTGGATCTTCGATCATAGCACCCAGAAAGTGGAGGAGCAACTTGGCAGCACTATGTTGAAGGCCCGCTTGCATTGAGCTTGCTTTCCTTGCATTGGAGATGATGCCGTGTAACCGCTGAGCTCCCTTTCACTTGTTAGCTGCTTTCCCAAGTCCCTCAGTTGAATTTTGAGATTAAATGTAACAACGCAGCCTGTCGTCAGATCCCATGGCAGCTGATACTGAAGGTTGGAGAACTGCAGCGAGCCGCTGAAGCAAGCTGAGGCAAGATCAGCCTGAACAGCCATTCCCCCAATAATGGTGATTCAAATGAATACGTAGATGGAACATGAAATGGAAGCTGGGAAGGGGTATGGGGACATATGGGATTTTGGACTCACCTACTGGTGCAAGGGCAGACATTGGTTTCTCATGCCGGCTATGCCTAGGCCAGGGATGTTTTTTGTCATCCAGGTGGATTTCCTGGATGTCTCTGGTCCCCGGATGCGGATTGAGGATGGGGAGAAAGGTGGACGCATGTCCTTCAACGGCGAGGACCGGACCTTGAACAATGCTCAATCCCCTGGCCTTAAGATAAACAGAAATACCGTCCATTTATGCATAGAGATAAGCAGATCAGGACAGACATGTGTATACGTGCTATAGGGCTGATCAAGTTCAGCCAATCTGGGGACTGGCGATTACTTGTTCCGTAGTGCCCCTTAAGATAGGGAAATGTTTTTTTGTGGTTATTATTATTATTAATGTTGTGTTTTTTTTTTTTTTTTT